AAAATAGTAACTTTTAATCCTAAACAATTGTTTCTTAAAGTGAAGTTCTCCATAAAAACAAATTAAAATTAATTGTTTGTCTTTTTGAAACTCTGAAGTCTGAACAAAATAAATGATTTCATTGAATTAAATGTTAGTTATAAAATGATAATTCAAAAATACCAATGTTTATAACCCTATAACCCCAATAGATAAAAAACTTACCCACTCTTATAAAAAAAAATTTTAAATGAAAATCAAACAAAATGTTTTGCAAATTGTAAATTAAAGTGATGGAAAAAAATTTACAAATGTTTTAAATACGTATGTCACTAAGTATTTTAAGATATTTGTTTATATATAACTTAAAATTGCAGTTTTTTTTAGCTATTAAGATAATTAAAAGTTGTTAAGATAATATAGAAAATTAAATTAAAAAAAAATTAAATTTTTTAAATAACAAATTTATCTCATTGATTTCTTTTAAGTCAAAATTATAAAATCTTCTTCTGTTAGACTCGGCCTTAATATATAGATTACTTAGCCAACTTAGATAAAAAGAACTTTACATGAAATATGCATCAGGGGTACCCAACAGAGATCATCTCTGCATGGTCACGTGAATTTGCTACATAAAGAAGACTTTTTTATAAATTTAATACGAAGATCTCGATCTCTGAAGTACTAAGAATAATTCCTAAATAAAATTCATTATTATGGACTCTGCAAGTAGAAATATTCACATTAGTATAAACACCATCAAATGAAACGCTTCTTATTTTTTATTGAGGTAAGTGACATTGGTATGAAACTGTGGTCGTGTCCTGAGTATTGTAGAAGAAGAATGGTATCTTTCTTTTAATTGAATTTTCTAATATGTGTTTTTATAAAAATTTTGTCAACAAGAATGAATAATATTCCTTCAATATGTTGAACACACCAGCTGTATATTTTGCTTAATGTGTCAATAGGATCATTAAGTGACTGTTGACTAACTTGTACGACGAAGGGTTTTACAATCTCTATTTTCAATGCTACTAGTCATTAATTTCAATAAGCTTTTACAATCAGCAATTCTCGGAATTTTCAGTACAAGAAGCTTTACATTTTGATGGTACTGGCAAACACAAAATGCATGCAGACCAGAAGCCCCACCCACAAGAATGCACCACTTGAGTTTTAGCTTACAAAATTTTGAAAATCCAACTTTTATAGTAGTTATATTTTTTTAAACTCAATATGAAGTTCTATCATATCATTTTTTATCATAAATTATTTTTGGATGTGTTGCTTTAGATCATCTAAATTAACTGACACAAACTCTTTCTTTCCTAGACAAACCTTTGAATAATAATTGCGTTTACGCAATTCAAGGAGAGGTTTCAATAAAATTCCACTTTTGAAGTCAAAAAATACTGCTGAGTTTTCTCTTAACCAACTGTCTGGAGTGAGTGTAAGAAGTGTGATTTTTTCGGATTTTGAAAATTTTTTGTCAAATTTTGACAAAATTTGAAGTTGTTTTTCTGCAAATAGTGCAGATTTTTTGACCAGGTATTAAACAAAAATCTTATAACTCAAAGAGAATCTGTAAATTAAACTATAATAATTATTAAATATTGTTTAATATTTAATAATTATTATAGTTATTTAACATTTATTAAATATTGTTTAATATTAATTTGTTTAACATTTATTTATTGCCAAAGGTATTTGTACAAAATTAAAGGTATTTGTTTTAATATGGAAACTTTTCACGTTTTTTGTGTGCTTCTTCAAAGGATTAAAACAATACCTTCAATGTTTATTCTCATACCTAAACAAATAAACATTCTTGTGATTGTTACAAATAAAATTTGTGGGGTTTACTTTGCTTCTTAATAAAAGAATAACATTTATATATTTTAGATTCTTTTCATCCAAGATTTACTTCTTTAGAATTTAGAATTTACCTGAAAATTCAACTGTTGTTGGTTTGTAGCTTGTTCTTGTTTAGGTATTTCGGGCGAATATTTTACAGATCTGGCTTCAATAAGTTTTTTAGATTTTACCAGTACCTTTAGAATTTTTAACCATAAACAATGATAACAATGTTTATTTAATGCTTTACCAATACATCAAGGAGAGAGCATACTACTTAACATCAAGGAGAGAGCATACTACTTAACATTAATTAGTTCTAAAAAACAATAATGATTTATTTGTTTTTATTAGTACTTTTTAGATTGATATATCAGTATTATAAAATTCAATAAAACATTGATTTTTTTTCAAAAATATGGAAAAGTTACCTGACTTTTAGAGCTATCCTTTAGGTATATAAATACGTCATCATTAATTTTTTTCTTTTTTATCAACACTCTTCAATTGACGCGTATAAGAAATTTTAACAAAGAAAAAATGTTCCATCCTAGGTAACAGATGCTTTGCATCAGGGATCAATTTTTTAAAAATCTAGATCTACCTCATTTTGATAACTTATAACTTTTTAATACAACTCTTTAATCAACTTATTATTTTTTTTTTAATTTTTATCCACCTTGTAGTAGTGTAGATCAACAGGCTATTTGATTTGTATTAATTTTTTATCAAAGTTATAAGCTAAAACAGCTAAGTTATTATGCAAAATACCTCACTACTTGAATAAGTTTTTTTTAAAAACCATATTAGATGACGATCTGAAATTTTCAAAATCTGAGATGGGCATAGAGTGACCTTTGCTCCGCTTGACATGAAATGTCCCAATGTAGTATGAAATTTTTAATCCTGCATTTTTTTTTTTTGCTCCTCAGTAAAATCTCATTATAAATTTTTACTCTCCACTAAAAACCTCAGGAAATTTTTTTTTAAAAGTAAATTTATGTATTTTGCTGAATAATTTGTATTTTGCTCAAACTGTATTAACTCTTTAACAACAAATTAAGTCTGGTGCTACCAGGGACGTGGTGGGGATCAAACTCAAAACTTCTTCCTTATGAAGCGAGCAATCTACCACTACACCACTATCGCATAAGATAGATTGATAATATATACACATTAAAACTACTGCATTATATTACAAATGTTTCAATATTTCTATTGATTAATTTGTTTCTTTATTACATGTTAAGAAACTCCACATTAAAGCGTTTAAAAGTATTCAGAAAATATGAGGTTACACCAGGTAAACTATATTTCTGTGGAATATCCAGTTTTTTGTGTTTAATGCGATGAGATTTAAAAGGCAAGAAATGACATAAACTTATCATATAAATTGCTGCAAGTATGATAATTGCATTCACCAAAATTGTTAAAACAAGTTTTCCTTAATCAGTGATAAAATCAATGGGTTGAAGAAATAGTTTGGCACTATTTAAAAATAAATATTTACTATCATAAACTTCAAAAATAATACTTAATTAAGTGATTTTTAATTAATAAATAAAAGAACATCACAGTTAAAACTGTTGTAAATAATACTTAATTCATCACAGTTAAAGCTTTTGAATAATTTATTGTTGAATTTCTAATTCTATTATAAATTTTTAAAGATGAAAATAATTTTAAATTCATATCGTTGATTTTACTGGGAATTTTTTACGAGAGCTGTTCCAATTCAAGAACAAAAGTAATCTAATTTAAAAAACCGGTTGTCTTGATTGTAAAAAAAATGATGTCTTAACATCATCTTAACAAAACCGATTTGTTTTCCAATAAAAATGCAATCAATCAAGACAAATTATGGTTAAAGGTATAGTAGGGTTATCTGTTTGTATTAATCAAAAATGTTTCATAGTTAATCCATTGGTAAAAAATATTCCTTAGGAGCTCTAATTTCTGCAATTTTTCCCTATTAAAGTTTATATAAATATGTAATAATATTATATGCCAAATATATATAAATAACAAACATTTTTATATCCATACATACTCATGTTATAGGGGAAGTCGGGGGAATGGTGGCCTCTGGGGTACTTATGGACATATGATATTTCTATAATTGTGTGACATTTTTTATCTATACTGGTACCTTCTTTCTACTAGAAGAGCTGATAATTCGTCCTAGTTCTTGGTTCTTCCTACATAAGTGGTGCTAGTTGTCTTATGTTGTTAACTGTCATTTACGTATTAGAAAGAAAAAGAATTATTGTGCTATTAAGTATATAAATGTTAAAGCTGTTGAATAAGTAACACCAATAATAAATATAACTATTCTAGTTTTTAAATATATATAATGTAAGTATCTTCTTATTTGCAAATATGTTTTTATTTTTGTTAATAAAAATTGATTCATTTTATGGCTATGATATATGCCATTTTATACCGGGCATTCATGGCCGTATAAAATGGCTAGAAAATCGAAAATTAATCAGATATTTGTTTGGTTTGTGGGGAATTTGGTAAAAACCGAGAATGGTGGGTAACCTGTGCTGCATGTGGTGACTGGGTCCACAAAGACTGTACAGATCTCCTCCATAAAAACGATATTTATATTTGTGACTATTGTATTTAATAGTAATATTGTACTACTTATTTTTATTAATTCTTAAACTCATAAACTTATTCTCTTAATCTCTTATAAAACTTATTTTTAGTAATTATTATTCTTATTTTCATTATTAAGTTATGGGGTAATACTGGCCATTTCGTTTAATTTTTTTCTTGCAATAACATGTTAATTATTTTTTGTACGTACTTGCCAATAAAGTACTTTATAATATACATTGTAGTTATTCTTCTACCATAGTTACAGCTTGGACCATTATAATACAACCCTAAAAATTGCAAAAAACCCCTAAGGGGTCACCATTCCCCTGACCTCCCCTATGCCAGTATTTAATAAATGGTAATTATATGCATAAATTTATAATATATAATGTAATGATACTAAAAACCTAACATACCTGATTGGTATGTTAGGTATGTGTCTAGAAGAAGCATTTAATTTATTCAAGTATCAAAAAAAAAAAAATCTGATGGTAAATGGTCAATAAAAAAAATATTTTGTTATATATTCAATTATAAACAAAATTTATTTTATCAAGGTCAAAAGATCCTCGTGGTTATATATTGAAAGCAGATTCTTTAATTGGATTAATTCCAGAAAAAACTAAAAACGATCGTCGTAATTTGCACAATGCATCTCTAAATTTCCAATGGAAAAAAGTACCTGGTAAGTAGTATTTTAAATAAATTATAGAGAAAAATATTTCAGCAATTTTGGAAAAATTGCCTTAACTATATTTTTATATCGTGTTATTTCTTAAAATATTTTTTTTAACAGTTCCTCGAAGGTGTTTTGACTGTAAAAACACCTACGTCCAAATAATGTAAGTTACTATATGTGTAGGTAAATAAAGTAGTTTAACGTTATTTGCAACAACTAAGCCTAAAACAGTTTTGATGTGAGAGTTGTGTCTGTCAAATTATTGTACCATGTTTGTAGAGTTGTGTCTGTAGCAGGTGCTGTAAAGGAAGAAAACTTTATAAACAATTAATGGTGATAAAAATCGACACATGATTGAAAAACTTCGACAGACCCATATGGTAACTTTGACATTCATCTCAATGTTACCTCAAAATAGAAATATGCGTTTTAATAAAAACGCTGAAAAACCATCTTAAATGCTTAGATTTAGATGATATCATAAAAGTAAATGTAAACGATTATTATTGTGAAGTATTACTTACCTTACAATTAAAGTTTTTCAACAATAAAAAAGTTGAAAAGTCTAAATGGAGTTTTTTGTTACTATGTTTACAACTCAACCCGTACCCCTGCATTACCTTATTGCGTAAGTTTAAAACATTTAGGTTGAGGTTGCATTTTCACCTTTATAATGTTTTTTATTTTTTTAAACATTGTTAGGATTTTACTTAGCTGTTATTGATATACATTCTTGCACTTCATACTATTATTCATATTCGATTTTATTAGACATTGGATTTTTGTCTCATTATTTTATACTGTTTCATTATTTTATATTAAAATAATGAAACAGTATTTCTTTTCCATTATCAAGCCATCTCGCTCATCGATTATAAGCGTTGCTTTTGGTGGACTTTTAGTTTCGTCTATGTATTTATTTCGTGTATGACTTTTAGATTTTATATTAATAATATTTTTATGAAGCTGAGTTTATTACTTGGGATGTTGGGTTTACACTTTTTTTTTAATTTAGGCATTGGTTGGCGAAACTACAGTACATATAGATCTTCGACAGCTTTTTGCTTTAAAAGGCCTCATATAAACTTACATCAACGAAATTTCTTTTCCATTATCAAGCCATCTCGCTCATCGATTATAAGCGTTGCTTTTGGTGGACTTTTAGTTTCGTCTATGTATTTATTTCGTGTATGACTTTTAGATTTTATATAGTGTAAATACTTTTTTTTAAATAGACAAGTTTGTACAAAGTTTCTTGTTATTTAAATGAAATTTATCGAAGTTGAATTTTTTATCATTGCAATTTCTTCTCATTTGCGCAGACGCGCGCGTTAGTGATACTTTTATAAAAAATATTAAAGGCAAAATTAAAACAACTTGTTAATAATGATATTATTTGAAGCTATTATTTATCTCTATTGTTAACTAGAAGCCAATATTCCGTAAAAAAAGTTTTTTATTATTTAGTAAAAAATGTGTTACAAACAAAATTATAAAAACGTTTAAATTTTAAAAAAATCTTAAATTTAATTAAAACATGCTACAATAAGAATAATTCAAAGAGTTTGTATCTACTTTACACTTAGTTTCATTTTTTAAATTTTATGCTTATGGGTTCAACTCTTATGGATTACACATAACTCTATTTTCTTCGATTTTTACAAATGGATCAAAATATTAAAACCCAGTAAATTTATTGCGACACATTTCAATAAATCGCGATTTTTTTTCGCATTAAAAAACTACAGTGGAGGTTTTATTCTCCTAGTGTTTGAACTATATATTAACTTCAAAATGAGTTATGTCCCTGTGTACCTTGTACTGTCTTTCTGGTTAAGAAATTGACAACTATTTAAAAAATATTTTAAAATGAACTCTTAAAATGAACTTTTCTTATTTAAAGAAGAAAGTAAGTTAGAAAAGAAGGTTAAAGAACTTTTTTTATACTAACAATATTTTTTCTTTTTTAAAATGAACTTTTTTAGGCTCAAACAAAAAAACTTTTAATATGAACTTTTCTTAGGCTAAAATGAATCTTTAGTAGAAAAAAATACAAAAAAATGTTTTTCAACTTTTTCATTATAATATTTAAATATTCTCTAAAAACCAAAAAAATTAACAATATTTCAAAAACAACTTAAAATAATTCTTAAATAGTATTTAATATAAAGTGCTACGCACGAAAAAACGAGGATATTTGTGTAAAAAATTGTGCCCAAATTTTTCTAATTTTATTTAGTATGGCTTCAACAAAGAAAGTTCAATGTAACGTCTTTAGGGCTTTGAATTAGAGCATCTAGAAACCTTTACTGCCCACCCAATCCATATTTTGTTGCTACAGTTTTATAATACAGGACTGTGTACATACCATCAGTGACATGATACAATCATACAGAGTATGATTATATAATTAGATGTTGAATTGAAAACAAAATCTCCAAAAATATTTCAATGTTATGTAAAATTAAACCATTTCTTAATATTGAGTTTTTAAAAATTGTATATTTTTCATTTATTCATAGTTATCTTTCTTATTGCAATATTGCATGGGGAAGTACTAATTATGGGAAACTTAAAAAAATCTATAGCAAACAAAAACATGCATGTAGGATTATATTTGGCGTTAACAGAATTGTTAATGGTGAATCTCTTCTAAGCGAACTTAATGCACTTAATGTTTATAAAATTAATATATACCAAGTTATGTTTCTAATGTTTAAATCAAAACATGGTTTGTCTCCTAATATATTTCACTCTTACTTCACTGAAATTACTCATAAATACCCCACAAGTTTTCAGTTGATATGTTTGTTATTCCAAGATCTTATTTAAAACTCAGCTCATTTCAAATTCAATACCGTGGACCATTTATATGGAAAAGTTTTTTGAAAAATATTATTAAAAATAAAACTCTTCTAAACTTCTCCCTAGAACAATTCAAAAAAGAATTAAAAAAAATGTTTATTTATATATCTTATTATACGATTTACTACTTGTAATATATTGTGTTGTATTTTGTAATTTTTAACTTGTTACATAAACTGAAGGCAACAATGTAAACGGGGCTTGGCGATAAGACAATATACGTCTTCTTCTTGCTCCGGCCATATATTAAATATGTACGATCTTTCTTATTGTAAATTTTATCAAACGGCAAAGAAAAAAAAAATAAAAAAAATAAAAAAAATATGGATTGGAAGAACAAAAACAAATTCAAAAAATCAAAACTATTTATTAAGTAGCACTTGATATATTTAACTAAAAATTGATATTAAAAAGATCATCTTATTGTAAAATAATTATCAAAGGGTGGAGATTTTACAATATGCTAGTTATAGACAGGACCGTTCCGAAGAGGTCTCTCTTAGGGGGGGGGAAGGGGGTATGTATTTTTTTGCCAAATAAAGACACAAAAAATAAAATAAAAAAAAGTCCTCAATATTTGCAATTTGGCAACTATAGCTTAAAACTTGCTCAATGTGCCAACTCAAATGCTTTTATGATAACTTTGAGGGGTGGGACACCCCTAACACCTCCCCCTTCCTTCGGGACGGCCTTGCCCTTAGAACATGTCTGTTATAAAGTTGATGTTGTTAATAGTTTTATTTAATTAAATTAATTTCACATACAAGCTAAAAAGTATTAATATCCAAGAGTTTCTATATATATATATATATATATATATATATATATATATATATATATATATATATATATAATATATATATATATATATATATATATATATATATATATATATATATATATATATATATATATATATATATATATATATATATATATACATATATATATATATATATATATACACATATATATATATATATATATATATATATATATATATATATATATATATATATATATATATGTATATATATATATATATATATATATATATATATATATATATATATATATATATATATATATATATATATATATATATATATATATATATATATATATATATATATATGATTGGAAGAAAGTTAAATTAGCATAAAGGAAAAACAACATTCCGATACCACGATCGATATAACCAGTAAATAGCGCCAATATGGTTATAACGAACTAAATAACAATTAAATGGCGATTATTTGAAAAATAGTGTTTTTTTGTTATTGAACGAAATTTTTGTATAAATAGAGTTTTGTTGTTGTTGTTTTTCAGATACAAAAATAAAAAGAATATAAGTAATATAGTTAATGTAAAAACGGTTAAGATCTTAAAAATATAAGTTATAATACATATTCGGTATTATGTGTGATCGCCATCGGATCATAATTGGTAGCAGAGGGTAGTTTCTTCAACACGGAAGAATGGTAAAAAGAAAAAATCAAAAATCAAATAACCAAATGGAAGATCAGTTAACCGTTCAAAATGAAGTATCTGCATTGAACAGGAAAAAAATAGTTCTAAAGTCTTCGTTTACGCGAACTAAACATCAAATTATTCAGCAAGTTGGAGACGATGAACCCACTTGTTAAAACGAGTTACGCGAATTGAGTAATCAATTAAGTGCGACCGCGTACCAATGCGTACAGACAAAACCGAAGAGTCAAATCATGAGACTCGTCGAGTCTTAAACCGGGTATCGAATCCTGGAGTTTAACCACGGACTCGCCGAATCCGATTCCGGGTACCTAAAACCGAATTTTGTGCGGCCGTGGCGCAGTTGTTAGAGCGCTTGCTCTATAAGCAGGAGATCCAGGTTCAAAACGAGCTTTGGACATATTTCGCGTCACGGTAAGAAAGAAGGCGTCAACTTTCTTGTTAAATGCACTTCCGCGGTGCTCTGTGACAAGACCGTTAGGACTTCTTGGGGCACCTAAAATAACAAAATTAAAAAAAAAAAAAAATTAACAAAGACTCAAAACGAAGCTCTCGAGATAATGGTTAAATTATCAAAGAAATACGAACTTCTGAAACCAAGAGAAAATGTAGGAAAACTCAATACAGAAATTGAAAAACTAAACGTCGAATTTGCAGAAATTATGGAACATGTAAATGAATGGATATTGCGCAATGGAAGTTTAAAATCAAATTTAAAACAACTAAGGATGGAAAAAGAACTTAAAATGGAAACAAAAAAGCAATGTTATCAATTGTTAAGTACTCAAAAAAGTAATGACTAGTATGAAGATAATAAAGAAGAAAATGGGAATAGCGAAATGGAACCAATCAAATCAACGCATATCATGCGTAAAATGGAAAATGAAATAATTGATTTGAATCAAAAGACTGCAAAAATTGGACATGATTTATGGAAACAACTCAAACGCGTCTCTATACCAATATTTAATGGTGATAAAAAAACTATGAAAATTGGAAAGCTTCATTCTACGCATGCATTAATCAAGCCCCAGCAACATCTGAGTATAAATTACTTCAGTTACGTCAATATTTATGTGGAGACGCATTAAAAGCAATTGAAGGACTTGGGCATTCGTCATTCGCTTATGAAGATGCAAAAGAAAGACTTGAAAGAAAATATGGCGAAACAAGGAGAAAAATCCTTATGTATTTGGATGAATTGAACAACTTTGAATCTATGAGGGAAAATGATCCAAAAGACGTTGAAAAGTTTAAGGATTTTTTGGATGTGGCAGTAACAAACTTAAAAGAAGCAAATCGAACAGAAGAACTTGGCGATGGGACATTGTACCATTAATTGCAAAAAAAAGTTCCTGAGATAATGTTAATTAGATACAAACGATGGGTGTATGAAAACAAATTGAACGAAAATGTTAAAACTCTAAAAAAGTTTATTGTTGAAAAAGCAGATTTTCAAATTGCAGCAACGGAAACTCTACATGGTTTAAAAAAAACTATTGGTAGCAAAGCACACAAAGAAAATTCTTACTTTGGTAACAGTGATCAAAAAAAGAAAATAAATTGGATACAGAAATGCTCTGTTTGCAAAAAAGATCATAAAATATGGGAGTGTCCAACGTTTCAAAATCAAAATATTAAAGAAAGACGGGAGACAGCTGAGAAAAATAAACTCTGCTTCAGATGTTTGAATTCTAACCATTCGTCAAAAGAATGCAGGAACATAAGAATTTGTGGGATTGATGGCTGTACAAATACCCATAATCGTTTGCTTCACAAGAAAAGTCATAAAAAGAAACAATTTCTGAAGACTACAAAGAAAAAGACACAATATTAAAAAATTCTCATACGTCGAACATCCAATTTCATTCAAATCACTGCAAGGTAAAACCGAACAGGTAACTGTGAACATGATAAATGGAAAAATTGATTCTTTCGAAACGACGCTGGTAAATTTTCAGTTGGAATCGTTGAATGGAGAAACAAAAATTACAATGGAAGCTTTTACAGTTAATAATGTAACTGGAAACTTAAAAGCAGTTAATTGGGCAAATATGTCAAAAAGTTGGAAACATCTAAAAAAAATCGAATTCCCAAATATTGGACCAAAACCAAAAATTGACATTCTAATCGGTGTGGATTACGCTGAGCTGCACTGTGCAATTAAGGAAGCAAAAGGAGGATTTAATGAACCAGTGGCTCGACTCACGCCGCTCGGATGGATATGTGTTGGTAGTACTGGTGGATCTCTTCAAACCCAGTTTACGAAAATAACATCTAGTACAAAGAAAAAGTCTTTGTCTAGTACAATTGTAAACAACACCATTAAAAAATTATGGGAAATTGAAGGTCTACGAAGAGATGTAATTCAGAAAAACAATGACAAGTTCAGAAGACTCTACCGCCCTTAATATAGTAACTAATTTGCTAAAAACTGAAAACGGAAGATATGAGCTAAAATGACCATGGAAAGGTAATAGACATTTGGACAATAATTATACAATGGCGTTAAATAGATTACAAAATACGGAAAAACGGCTAATGAAAAACAAAAGTCTTGGAGAAGAGTACAATAATATTATTAAGCAGTCTCAAGAAAAGGGATACTTGGAGAAAATCAATAAAAGGAATCTTAGAGATGGTTGGTACTAACCACATTTTTCAATTCTTTGTCCTGATAAATCAACTACAAAAGTCAGAATTGTGTTTGATGGATCTGCAAAATATAATGCTAAATCAATTAATGATGTTATTTATCAAGGTCCAAAACTTCAACACGACCTTGTGACTGTTTTGCTGAGATTTCGAAAATACCCAGTGGCTTTAGACACTGGGTATTTTCTACATTTTTTCCATTCTTTAAAGTTGAAAGAGAGAATGTCTTTGCATAATTTAACTTCCGGTGTGCACCATGATTTAGAGTAAATGCAAAATTCTTTTTTTTTTGATAACATTCTTCCATAGCTAAAGTGGCAGCATTATTTATTTTTTCGCATGTTGTTTGAGTTTATTTTTTTATTGCTTCTCCAATAAAAGCGTAGTGGTGTATTGGTAAAACACTCGCATAAGCGAGAGGTTCAGAGTTCGATCCCCACCACGTCCCTGGTAGTACCGCGCTCAACTTGTTTCTCCGCGCAGCGGCTTTGTTCGTCAAGGTTCGTGTTTCGGAGTTATAGAGTTGAGAGAGGGTTATAACCACTATTAAGTAGCCTCCTCGTCTGTAGTGGCCTTCTCGGCCTTGAGGAGGTGAATAACAAAAAAAAAAAAAAAAAAAGCGTAATCTTCGAAGAACTGAGAGAGGTTCCGATTATAAATTTCAACAAAGTTGTCATCCTTTCATGCATACTTTGGGATTGTATTGTATCTTTTAAGTATATTATTTATAACTGGAGTTAAACAATTATTTTTAATATTAGTATGTGTAGCGATGGGTAAATGATCACTCATGTTTAAATGTGAAGGAGGAATAATTTTACAGTTTGTAAAGCATATTGATGATTCTTTTAAGAATGCTATGTGATCGATGTAAGATAAATTATTTAGTGTTTTATGCTTATAGGTATAGGTAGGACCAGTACCACTAATTATATCCAAAAAAGATAGCTCGTTTGTTTCAAGAAAATTAGATAAATGCCTAGAAAAGTTGTTACGTGTTTGGTTATTTCGATCTTCCGTGTCGTATACATTTTCAGGAAATGGCTGAAAATCGCCGGCAATTATACACTCTTCTTCATCCTCGTATGTGTTAATGATGGAGGCAATTACACTAAGTTGAGACAGATATTGTTCTAATGATTCAGAAGTATTTCTGCATGAAGTAAGATAAACTCCAATAAAAATAAAAACACTGTTGCCATATGAACTTTTTATTGCAAGAATGTGTTCATCTTCGTGTATTAAGTGAAGAGAAAGCATTAAGTTTTTACAAACTAATAAAGTTTTTCCCCCAAAAGGTCTTCCGTATTCTTTCTTTTCAGCAGAGTGAAAAAATAATTGATGTGTCGGAGCTGATAGATCAATGTTTTTATTAGAAAATTTCCGATTATTTGTTTTTCTACCTACAAGTTTGTGCGCGCATCATTTTTTGAAAACGAGAATGTAAACATTTGAAACTCATCTATATATAGCAGTTTTAACAGAAGGGTAGAGCAGGGTTAGATTTTGGCGTTAACAGCTTTCCGATAACTAAATTTTTTCCTGCCTTTAACTAAACGGAGACAAGAATACGAGTTTATTTTATCGCTTGTTTTAAAAACTGCCGTTTTACTTTTAACCAGTCGATTACATATCACAGGGTTTAACAGAGGGATGTGAATACGGCTGAATAGAATAGAACATGGCTGCTGAACTGTCAGTTTTCAGACAGTTGTACGTTTGTTCAGATCTTGAAAGACTATTTTCATTTTTTGATGTTTAACTGTGATGATTGACGTCTATTTATTGATTCCAGTAAACGTAGTCTAAAGACCGTGCTATTACATAATGAAGATACATATCTAAGCATTCCAGTTGCACACTCAGTACACTTAAAGGAATCCTAGGAATACATAGTTATACTGCTGAATGCAGTTAAGTATGATCAGTACAAATGGAAAATAGGTGACGATCTTAAATCAATTGGTTAGGTTTAAGCAATTGGTTACTGTTAGACATGCAGAAAGGCTTCGCAAAATACATGTGCTTTTTATGTTTGTAGGATAGCCGGGCAACACAGGAGCACTACGTGAAAAAGAACTAGCCCCCGCGTGAATATGTGAATGATAAAGCTTCAATACTGTAACGCTTTACAAAGTTGTCCAATTAGTAAATGAATACTTTGTAGCACGTTTTAACTCTGTCTAAGATATTTACATCTTAAATTGTATGTGGCTTTCAACTAAAAGTAGAAAATTTGAGATGAGGACACACGTATGTTATGTATTATTTTTTCCATTGTGCCACATTGCGCGAAACACATGTCTTTTTAAGCATAGCAGGCTACTTGTTGACTTTAGAGTTAGCAGTACATACCAGAGCCTTTTGTTTGAGGTTGTTGCTAATTATTATGCCTAAATCAAGTTTTGTTGAGCTCAATTCCGAATTTAGTCACTTTTTTTTTTTAATCTAACCCACTCCCAACAACGTGGCAAGCAAGAAATAATATAATGTAAAACACGATAAAGAGAAGCAACTTTTCAAATGCTAACATTGCAACCGAAAGTATATATGGTTTCCATGAGAGGTCATTAGTGAGCAATAAACCAAGAAGGCTTAAAAAAGAAGACTAAGAGAGTGGTTTGCTATTGATCATAATGTTTTTAATACATCAATATATTCATCAATAGTTGTTTGCAGTAAATAACTGAGTTTGTTTCATCAGCAAACATAAGTGCTAATAATTTGAGACTTTACAGATAAACTTAAATTAGAAATAATAAGGGTCCTAGTATAGATCCTTGTGGAACACCGCAGGTTATATATAAAAAATCATGTGAGGGAGATACTCTGACGTGGATAAACTGTTTGTATTGCTTTAAATAGCTTTTAAGTAGCATTAAAGCTTTACTAATAATACCATAATGTTTAAGTTTTTGAACCCATATTTCATGGTCAATAAAGTGAAAAGCCTAAGATAAGTCTATGAAAACACCTAAAGTAAATTCTGATTTTTTCAAATGAAGCTATACTTCAAGTTAGATGAATGATTGCATGTTCAGTAGAATCATTTCTTTTGAAACTGTATTGATTCTTGTAAAATATATTATTAATAGAAAAATAATTAGATATTTGATTAAACAAAATTCTTCCTAAAATTTTTGAAAAAACAAAGAGGATGTTGGCTGAAAATGAAGATGTTGGCTGAAAATTTCTGACATTTGATGGTTCCCTACCTATAAGTATAGGCTATTTTCAATTGATTAGGGAAAATCCCTGATCAATTGAAAATAAATTGTTCAACATTTAAAAGTTTAAAAAAAAATATCTTTTATAGTATCGTATGAACCTGTGATTATATTTTAATCTTATACAATGTTTTATCTGTTTTGTTAGTTTTAAGCATTCTAAAAGTATCTCAAATTCTGAAAACTTTAAATATATGTAAACTAATGCTTTTAATGTATTTAACGATTAACGATTAACATGTAATCATTTATTGGATTAATCATGAATGTTATTAGCAAAATACCTATACAAAATATTTAGTTATCGTCAATTGGTTTAGATTCATATAAAAATACGCCATAAATTTTTATAGTATAAGGTATAGAGCATAGTTTATATTTATTACTTTCAATAAATTATTTGACTAATAATTTGCGCTTTCAATTATGTTTTTATTTCTCTATTAAATCATAGTATTAAATCGTTTTTTTTTAACATTCAAAACTTTTAACGTAAGTTTTATAAACAATTTTATTTTCAATTGTTTGTTTTTTTAAACACTTTATATACATTTTTTTTTTTTTTTAATTACTATTTTTGAGGATTTCTTAAAATATTTATTGACCCATATGTTGACTTTTAACTCATTGGTTTTAACAAGTTTAGGTTTTTGGAAATTTACATTGTATATTTCATAGAAAGCTGGAAGACTAGAAGTCTAGAAACTAGAAGGCTAATGGCAAGTTTTTTTAGCATAGCAATTTTTTTTTTTTAATAAAAAAAATTTACAGTCGTAACTTATAAAAAAAATATTTACATGACCAATTAAATTCAATTAAACAAAAAATTTCGGCCCACCCTATTAGGTTGGTTTTAACATTATAAAAGTGATTATTAAAAGTATGTTTTTTAGTATTTATGCTAGTAACTATTAACAATCTGAAAAAAAGGGAGAATTTCCTACTTAAAGGTAGGATATGTGATACCCTTAGTATTTTCTAAAATAAAAATTGAATGAGAAATCTTTATTTATCATATAGTTTTCTATTTTAGAAAGTAGAAAATAATACTCTCATATTCTACCCTAAGGTACAAATTTCTCCCTTTTCTTTTAAGAGTGAACTATAAAATGATGCAAATATTCGTGCGCCATGCAAATACTCTCGCGCTAAAATATTTTATAAATATGAAGCCAAAATATGTTATGTAATTTATAAATAAATTTTGTATGAGATTTTTAAGATTAAAAAGATCAATCAACATGTGCCGATTCAACATGTGCCGATTCAACATGTACCGATTCAACATGTGCCGATACTCGTTCACCATTTAGTTTTACAAGTTTGAATTTTTTTTTTTTGTGTCGATTCACTATTATCACTATTATATATTACGAATGATACGCACGCACATTTTCGAACACAGCATAAAATTAATCTTTTAAAAAAAGGTAATGCAGATGAACCGAATAATATTACGTCTACATCAATGAACATAAACACATTTACGAATTTGATTAACAAAAGTTTATCAAAAGTATTAAAATGCTTCTGAAAATCAGGTGATGATTCGTTTAGTGCGATTAAGAGCTAAAGAAGGATATCATTGTTAAGTACTAATATTTTACATTGATAAATACTGTTACATTGTTAAATACTGTTATAGGGTTATACTAATTTTATACTAAGGGTTATACTAATTTTTATTTTAATATAATTTGTTAATACGATTCGAAATATAGTGAGATAATATGCAGGTAAAATATGCCAAATTATCTTAGCCAAACTTAGAGCGCGAACTATTCAAGGTGAAGAGTTTAGCATCACATTAGTTGAGTAGACTAAAAAACCGTCGTTATGACGTCGTTGTGAAGTTGTTCGTTATAATCTGTTATATGAATGTAAATGTGTTCTGCTAGAAGTCATGCTAAAGGGCAGAGGTTAAATCAACTTATCTAGAACAAGATCATTTTTCGAACGACGACAAAGAAGATGTAGGTAGTTTAGAGCAATTATCCGAAAAGAATTTTTATCTGTTTATTAGGCATGCAAATATTTGTTCACTGATAGAAAAGATTTGCAAAATTATTAAAATATCGCCGACGAAAAATGATGAAACACTACAGAAAATTATCAAAGGAGAACTAAGTAAGGAATTTTTATTTGTTTTGGACTCGACGGAGTAGCCTACTAACAATGTTGGAGCGTTTTTATAAAGTTAGAAATTCTATACGAAAATGATATAGAGATAACAATTAAATCACGAAGCAAAAAATATTAGTTTATTATCAAACATAATTTCAGACTTTAAAGGTTGCTGTAGAGACATTTTGTTGCGAAGATGTTAATCTTTACACAGCTGGTATAACATTACAGTTTATGTTAAACGAACTCAGCAAAACACATTATTTAGCAACTTTAAAATGAATTAGTACTACGAACAAAGGAAAGACGAAGTTTTAATTCAGATGTTTTTTTTCTTAATGAACAATTTGAATAACAATAGCAGTAAATTTAACGATTATGAAAAATTTAATAAAATCATTTTAACAATGGATGAAGTTAAAGTTATAAATGTATCTTCAGCTTTATTACCACTCCCAAAACTTCATATTTAGACGAAGGGACATCGATAAAGTACGTACGCAGTAAAACGATTGTTTTAAGACCCCCTCCTTGTACGCACTTGTATGCTTTCAACCTCCCCTCCTTCCCTCCCCCCCCCCCCCCCATCCTACACACATACACACTTTTTCTGCGAAATTTGATGCAAGCGCTCTAACCACGCCGTCACGGCTTCTCAAGTTTTAAGAGAGATAATTAAATTGCGAACTCTTAAAATGCACTCGTACATTTTTGCTAACCCCCTCTCCTCACACCTGCGTGCGCACTTTATGGAAGACCCATATGAAGAAAAGATATTTATTTTAATTTTATAGCGTCTGTATGATATTTTGTTGACTACGACATATTTCCGTTAAATGATCTGGTCTGTGAATAACAAAAAGACGAAAAAAATTAAAATCATAAATTTATCGGTATCATAAAATATAAATGTTTATAGCGAAAAAACTCAGACCGAAGATTATTTAAAAAAAAAAAATCTTAAAATCACGATTGTTTGTACAAATTTGAATAAGATTCAAAATAAATACTCTTTTTAGGTGAAAGGAACATCATAGTTTAATGATAATAATAATCTGTGCTGATTGCTTATTGGCAATTTTTCTTTATTATATGCTCGTTCTTGGAAATTCTAATTTTAGCAGTACCGTAAACCGGGGGTTACTTTGAATAGCGGGGTAACTTTGAATACAAATCTTTTTTTTTTTTCAAGTTATAATTATGGCAAGAATTTATATGAAATTGTTTAAATCTCAAACATTAAATTTTTAAAAATAGTTTATATTTTAATTATTTAAAGTTTTACTTTGTTTATTGGTTGTTATTGTTACCCAAAAAATAAATTAAATAATTAGGATATTTTTTTCAAAAAAATTAGTCAGAATACTTCGTACACTGCCTCAGCTAGTGTAGCAGCTTGTTGTCTAAGTTGCATAATTTTTGATTATAAATTTATTAAATATGTAAAATCTAAAGAAGTTTGTTTGCCTACTATAATTGAACCCGTCATTTCGAAAAGGGCACAAGTCACACTTTTTTCAAATTTCACTTTTTAATGCAATTTTATTTATTCAAGTGTTTTACATATTTCCTTTGAAGGAGAAACATTTTCATATGCCACAAGTCAACTTTAAATGCAAATGAAAATTAAAGTCTGTTTGAAAATGGCACAAGTCCCGGACTTATGCCTTTTTCAAGTGAAACAAAGCGCAACTGTAATGACGTAATTTCACTTTTTTTGTAACAAAAATGGAAAATCGCGAACTTGCTGAAAGTGCATATAGATCTAGAAAAAGAGTGTCTGGTATAAGAAACAGTGGAAATTATAAACACAAAAAAATAAAAAAAGCCAAAATTGCTGGAGAAACTTATAAAAACCACAAAGGAAATGATGTGGCACCAAGTCAAACGGGTGCTTCTTGCAGGTTAGTTTTTTGTTCTTTAGAGTATGACTATATTCGTTCTCAAATTTATGCTTATTTACTCATGTTTTACCACCAATAATTGGAGGTAAAACATCTTGATATATAATTATTACAATATTACCTCAATAATTATATTTATTTACAGATGTAATTCAAAGTGTATGGAGCTTGTATCTGAAGATTTTATAGAAAGTACAATTCAGTTTGTTAACAAATTTGATTGAAAAATGCTCAAGACACATACTTGCAGTCATTGATTGAAAAGAGGTAAGATGGTTTAGATCTAAAGAACCTAAGAAAAAAGAATTTTCTTTTGTTTATCACATTAAGATTGAAGGTGTGATAAGAAAAGTACGCAAGAAATCTTTTTGCTGTATGCATGGAATTTCTATGAAACAAGTTGGACATTTATGCATTTTATTAAAAAAAAAAAAGAGCAGCCTATAGATTACAGGGGTAAATCTCTGTGATCACAATGCAACGCATTACCTGGAGATACATTAACAAAAGTACGTGAGCGAAGTATGTACCTTTGTGCTGAATTATATTTTTAAAAATATTGGCAACAAAGCAAAGAGCTGCACCTATTTTCTGATGGTTGTGCAGGCCAAAACAAAAATCATGCCACGGTCCGAATACTTTTATCACTGGTAGCTACACTAGATAGCAATATAAATGAAATACAATATTACATACCAAAAAGAGGTCACTCATTCTTGCCAAACGATAGAATGTTTGAAACAGCAAAATGACATTCAAAAAAATGATCGGATTTACACACCAACGATGTAAAAAAATGGTGGCTAAACCATTATAAGAAACTTGTGCTATCTGTGGATTCCTATAAAAAAGGAGTACCCAAGGACAAAAAACTTACTTTTGGTATTTCTAAAATTTCACATTTCACATTCTCTAATACCACAGCAGGTTTAGTGAAAACATGTGAACGCATAGATTGCTTAGTCAGTTATAATTTCCAGCTATTACAAAGGATGGGTACCCGGTCAACCTTACCATTAAGTAGTACTCCTGCATATGTTGGAAAATTACCTATCAATGAAAAAAATATATATCAGATTTGAAAAAAATATGAAAAAATATATTCCCTATTCAATAGAAGAGTACCAAAACTTCTATGCAAAGGTTTTTGCTTTGCCAACAACTTCGGCAAGCAATGAATTTCAAGAAATAATTGATGATTACCTAACAATAAATGTTTTTGTGTAATAATAAATCATTATTATTCTGATAATCTTTGGTTTTTTATATACAAAAAAACGTTCATTTCGAAAAAGACATAAGTCCATAAATTTAAATTAGAAATATATGTGTTCTATATTATTTTTTTATAACAAAATAAAAATCTAAAAACTTATGTATAACTTTTATATATCTACTGCTATCTTTAGTTTCTTTAGCACCATAGACTTTTTTTCTAATAAAGTTATTTTTGTTGATTCTGAAAAGTTTGAATAAATGGACTTGTGCCCTTTTCGAAATGACGGGTTCAATTATATTCGATTGCTGTAGCACAACATACTTTGTTGTATATATTTTTTCGCATACGGGTAACTTTGAATAACGTTCGAAGTAACTCCACTACATAAATAGTCAGAAACACGAAACAATTTTAAAATTTCCTTTGTCATACATGTATTGTATATAATATATTAAGTATTGTACATAATATTATTGTGATTAAAAATTAAAATATCATGTGTATAAACAGTAAGTCACACATACACACAAAGTTTGTGTGTGTGTTTATGAGTGTGTGTATGTGTGTATATGTGTGTGTCTCTGTGTGTATATGTGTGTGTCTTTGTGTGTATGTTTGTACATGTATATATGTATATATATATATATATATATATATATATATATATATATATATATATATATATATTATATAATATATAATGCGGTAGTGGTGTAGTGATAAGAGCGCTCGCTTTGTAAGCGAGAGGTTCGGAGTTTGACTCCCACCACGTCCCTGGAAGTACCGCGCTCAACTTAATTTCTCCGCGGAGCGTTCTTGCTTGTTAAGGTTCGTGTTTCAGAGTTAAAGAGTTGAGAGAGGGTTGTACCACGATTTACATCAAAAAATAAATAAATAAATAAATAAAAAAAAATAAATGAGTAGCCTCCTTGACTGTAGTGGCCCCCTCGGGCCTTGGGGAGGTGAATAACTATATATATATATATATATATATATATATATATATATATATATATATATATATATATATATATATATATATATATATATATATATATATATATATATATATATATATATATATATATCCCTATATGTATGCTTTTTTAGCTCTAGTAAACTTGCAATATTGTTAAAAAAATATGTCAAGTAATTTTTGTGTATAATTATTTTGTGTACATTCAAAATTGTGTTGCATGAAATATGTTAAAAGTATTGTTTTTTAATTTTTTTTTTATTTAGTATTTAATAGCATATGCCTCGTTTTTATAAAAAAAAAAGTTGATACAAGGCAGTACATAAATTATACTGAGAGTCAAGTATCAAAAGCTATAGTAGCTATTAATGATGGTATGTCATACAAAAAAGCATCAGATATTCACGGGGTGCCAGTTGGCACTTTGTATAACAAGATTAAAAAACTTAATCCGAAAACACCTGGAAAACCAACAGTTTTTACAAATATGCAAGGACTAACAATTGTGCAACATGTTATTGCTGTTGCTGCTTGGGGTTTTCCTTTTGATATCATGCATCTTCGTGTTTTAGGGAAGTCAATTTTGGATATAGAGGGCAGAATTGTTCCTAATTTTTACAATAACTTTCCTGGAAGAGAGTGGGCTCTTTATTTTTTAAAACGTCACAATGCTGATCTTACTAAGCAAATGAGTCAGAATATTAAAAAGTCTCGGGCATTAGTTTCATCTTCTGAAGTTAATAAATTCTTTGATAATTTGAAAACTACATTAAAGTATGATAAAGAGAAACAAATTCCTTCTTGTAATATCTTTAACTACGATGAAACCAATTTGCCAGATAATCCTGGAACCAAACGATCTATATTTAAAAGAGGGGTGAAGTATCCTGAATGTATTCAAAACAGTAGTAAGAGTGCTACATCAATCATGTTTTGTGCTTCAGCCTCTGGTCAAATGGTACCTGCTTATATTGTTTATGAAGTTGACCATCTATGGACAACATGGACAGAAGGTGGACCACCTAATGTACGATATAATTGAAGTAAGTCAGGATAGTTTGATTCTGTTTGTTTTTCTGACTGGTTTGAGACCATTTTCGTTAGATTAGTAAAAGATCTTCCAGGAACTAAAGTTCTTACTGGCGATAGCCTAAGCAGCCATTTTAGTGAAAAAGTACTTAAGCTAGCTGAAGAAAATGGTATTTTTTTTGTTTGCTTAATTGCAAACTCTACCCATTTATTGCAACCACTGGACGTTGATTTTATGGACCACTTAAAAGGTATTGGAGGAAAATACTGGATCAGTGGAAAATCTTGTGTTCGAAAAAAGCACAGACTATTACAAAAGATAAATTTCCCTCTTTATTGAAAACTTTGTATACTTATATATATTTATCAAATCAAGAGGTAAGTAGCAGTTTAGTAACTGGTTTTAAAAAATGTGATATTTACCCATTAAATGCTAGTATTGTCCTCAACCGTTTGCCAGATTCTGATAAAAATATTGAAACTGTTCAAAACAATGTTAGCCTAGCAGTAGTTAATGTACTTAAACGATTGCGTCATGTTGATTTTGAAGATAAAGAAAAGCCAAAACGAAAAAAAAAAATTCTTGTTGACCCTGGAAAAAGCATTTCCTTAGAGGATTTTAAAGCAACATTTAAAGATGATCTGTTTGCATCGTCATCTATAGATGAAACTGTTTTTTCATCTAATAATATCTCTGTACATAAAAAACAAAGTAATGCAGAATCTCTTTATGCAGGTTCTGTTAAAACATACCCATTAAGACATAAAAAAAACTAGTTGGAAGTTAATAATAATCTATCGTTTAAGTAACAATAAATTTATGCAAACCCAGATTGTTGTTTTTATTAAATTTTAAAACAAAACAAGGCGTTTTTGAATAGGTTTTGGTTTCACAAAAAACGCATTCAAAGTTACCCCATTTGCGGGGTAACTTTGAATGACTATTTAAAAATTAATATTATACAAAATACTTTTATTTAAATATTATTTTGGATTTGAATTATGGAAGAGTCAGTCTTAGTCCCTATATTCACTTTGTTAAATTTAAAATATTGTCATTAGTGAAGGAAGAGCAAGTAAAAATATCTCAAAAACGTTCATAGTAACCCCGTTTTACGGTATTCTAGTAGAAATTCTTTCTATATCGAAATTTTTGTGTGAAAATGAATAGAAATGTTTTATTTTGACAACTATATATAGTTAATATACGTCAGAACTGATTAGAATTAGGATCTATAGTGGGTTAAGACACTTTTTTAAAAGATTTTAACTAAATTCATGTTAACGCCGATGAGCGAAATTGATCTAAAGACTCCAAAACGGTGTTCTTTAGATTCACTATTAGAATATTAAAAATGTTTTGAAAATTGTAAGGGCTTCGTGATAAGATCATTACGATCTTCTTGAAGTCCGGCCTGTACTATTTAATTATAAATTTCACTATATATTTTGACTCACGAGACTTGTAAATATTACTTTTAATTTACGAAACTTGTAAATGTTATATGTACGGCAAATATATAAATTAAAAAAAAAAAAAAAAAAAAAAAATTATATATAAAAAAAGGAAAGTTTCTTTAAATAGTAAAAAAACCTCAAGCAAAAAAAAAATTGCAACATTTAAAGCTTTTGTTTGGACATAATACTCTGATAAAATCATGCTAATTTAAAAAAAAAAGATTTTGAATAATTTGTAAATCGCCTTAACTACACCGAGCAGTATTATCTTAAAAATTTTTTTTTTTGTCTTTTAAAATTTTTAGCTTAATTTTTATAAATAATTTTATTTTCAACTTTGTTCAAATGTATCCGGAAAAAAATATATTTAAAACATGATTTTGACATTTATTTTAAAAAATTAAAAATATTCCCTAGTGAAATGCAATCTTTACTTATTGTTCTTTTTATTATTGCTAAAACGCTAAATAAGGCAAATTTAGAGATGATTAAATTATCTTACGGATATTTACGGAGGAGAATATAGCGCCCAACCGGTAAAAAATAAATTATTTTACTGTGTTCTTCTTCGTAAAAGCCGGACATCTGGCAATCCTAGATATGATAAAATGATCTCTTAGCTTCATAACAAAGTATCTAATTTATGTCCTTGGTCTAAAACACTAAGCAGTAAAACAAATTTAAAACATAACACTTCGACAAAACTGCGTATTATTTATTAATTCTAATGGTAACTTCAATATTTTTAGTATAGAAAGTTGTTATAAAAAGGAAGACATTTTATTTGACTTTACCGAGTCTTTCGCATCTTTTTTTAACATGCTTTGGTACTTTATCTTTTCTTTTTTCTCTATTTTGATCTTTGACTAGTTTCTTATTTTCTTTACGCATTATTTTTCTGTTCTTGGCATTTTCAATTGCATCTTCGGGATTTTTGTTAAATGATTCCTCTTCAGAACTTTCGCTATTGCTGTCACTTTCGCTGTCACTGGAAGTTTCAACTAAATTGGACGGGTGGACATTATTTGTCGAAGAATTCTCAATTAAATCAGGTTGAGATTTCGCCCCACTAAGTTCTTTATTTAACCCTGTAAGATTCGCGTAGTAAAACTGATCTGAACCTTGCTTTGCCGCCCTGGTATCCCGTTCATAATCAATGACCTCGTCTAAACGTTGTGGTATATAAGCATTTTTAAACACTTCTTCTTCAACAACATTATGTACTACATCTTCAATTGAACGCTTGCTCGAAACCTCTTGCAATGTTTCAAGATATTGTTCAATATTGTCTTCATTAATAAGAGGATCCGTGACAAAATCAAACAGTTCTTTTACTGTCATTACGTTAACGCCGTGTTTTCGAAAAAACTCATTTATATTAGTACAGTCTTTTCTTAAAAATAACAAAGACGAAGGATGGTCATGCTCTACTGATTGCGAAACATCAATAACGTACATAAGATTTTCCGGAGCGTTATATAAAATATTAAATTCAGAAAAGTCAGCATGAACCAATCTCGCTTTCCAATACATGTCACGCATGATTCGTACACATCTTAAATAAAGCTCGCGTGCTTTTGATTCTGAAATGTTTGCATCTTTTAGAAGGGGAGCAGGAAACCCATCATGTCCTATAAAGTCCATCACCAGTACATGGCTGCGTAATATTATTGGTTCCGGACATGGAATACCTGCACCGCAAAGACGAGTTAAATTTCGCATCTCCTTCTCAGCCCATGTTCTTACCATTTTCCGAGGATTTCCTATAAAAAACAAATGAAAATGAAAAAATTTAAATCATTGTTAATAGTTACAAACATTAAACATTACTTTAATGCAAACAAATTTACTTAAAATAAATTTGTCATAAAACTAAAAAAAACAAACAACCTTTACAGTATCCATGTCTGAATCTAAACTCTCCACTGACATACTTATCTCGATCTTTAAAAATTAAAATGGAGGTCTTATAAATCTTTACAGCTCGGTTTATTCCTGAAGGAGTAGAAGCATGGTATACATTTGCTTCTTTGCCTAAGTAAAAAATTAAAATAGTATTAAATGATTTTCCTTTCGAAAAAACAAAAAAATTAAGTTTGTTTGATTAATTTTAAAAAAAATTTTAATATGTTTTTATAAAAATTTCAAAATAAAATACAGTCCAAATGACGATTTAGACTTAGCCAACCACTTTGAATGAATATTAATGGAATTTTAGTGGAGTAAAACGAGTTTTAAATAAATGTACTCTTCAATATCTAAAGATTGTGAATTAATTCAAAATACAATTAGAAGCCAAAATGAAATCATAACTGTTTTGTTTATTTTTAATTGTAGTTATCAAGTCAAAAACTTTGTCTCACTCGCTCTAGTTATAGAGCGATTAGTCAAAAACTTTATCATAAACAAAAAGGTGACTGAAAACTCTTTTTTTTTTGAGCATTTTAAAGATGTAGTGAAATATTAATTTTATTAAAAACCCTTCAATGGTAAATGAATAAAGACTCATGCGAGAGTCCCGCATAAGCTTTGGGACATAACACTGATTGACAATCAACATGTATATAACTCAATATATATACTCTGTATATAAGCAATTTGGAATCAACATGTATATAACTTCATCATTAGGTTTACGAAAAGGACAAAAAGATAGGTCATTGAGGTTAAGTGTTTAATCAAGAAAGTTCACAATCAGGTTGCACTGTATAGAGATAAAAATTACAAAAAAAAAAGAAATGTATAGAAAGAGAAAAATAGTAAATTATTGTAGATCTTACAATCCCACACCTAAACAACGCAATTTATGCCTATATGAAAAATATCTAATATCTTATCACAAGAAATATTAAATAAAGAAATCGATTGTTTGTTATAGTAAACCTTTTTTATTTTGCATATTTTTCTTTGTTTTTGAGTTAAAAAAGGTTTTTAAATTGTTAAAAAAAAAAGTAAAAACTAAAAAATAATTATAAATTAACATATCGAATATTATAATTAGTTAAAAAAATAATTAAAACCTTTTTTACCCTAAGTTGCCTTTTAAACTAAAACATGAATTTAAATGATAGTAGTAATTTACATCATATGATGTCAATATTTTTTATTCCTAATTTTCATATACAAAAAAAAATTATTATATTTGATAAAAGATAATTTTTTTGGTGAAAATAAAGAAACAAATTATAAGTAATAATTTATTTTTCAGAATTTGCTATATTTTTAATATAATTTTTATTAGTATTTGAATTATTGTAAAAATATCATATAAGAAGTAACAACACTATAAATTTAAAAGTAATACCTGTGCTTATGCAACCATTAATTTCACTGATAACACCCTTATTTAAAAGCTTAAATAAAATCATTTTTGTTCTTGGATCCAGCACTTGTTCAACAGTGGCTCGGTCTTTTCTATCTTTGACTCGCACAGTTTGTGCATGCTGCTTTTTTGCTGTCTCATGCAAATGATTAGCAGCACGACCGTGTAAAGAAGACGGACCTAAAACAATTAAATATATTGTAAAGTTTATTTTAAATTTACACATATGCCAAACAACCAATCTGCTCTCTCATGGTAAATATACTCTAAATTTCTTAGTCAAGTTTTTTGATTATTTTTTATTATTATTGATGGAATGATGCACAACGATGGCAGATTATAGAATAAAATGGCAAGTAGAAGTTGAACATTAACAGTGACCTCTATATTGTTAAGCTTGAACACCTTTATGCTGCAATTAAAGCAGAACCACCAACACAAAAATAAAAAATAAAAAAATCATTTTCTACTATGATAATGCTTTTCCTCATATTAAACATTGTGTCATCGAATCTATTGCAAATAATCCATATGTGATGAATTATTAATTTCTTGATTTAAATATATAGGTAATAATTACTGTCAGACATGAAACTTTTAGTTTCATCAAAAAAATGAGTTTTTTCATTTAAATAGTTATCAAATATTTCGGATTTGTTAAATTCCCTATTTTTTGTTTTTAGTTAAAAAACATCATTTTCTGTTCACTAAAATCTAAAACAATTAGTTTTTTATGAAATGATGATTATTTTTGAAGTTTTTATATAATTTTGCTTCTTTTGAGACCCATTAAATGTTTAAGGGTTTTGGGGGACCACTAAAAATATTTGTTATTTAAAAAGATTTTAAAACCAGTGTTTTTTTATTATATAGCACACATTAAGGGGGTCTCTGCATATATATTTTTTAAATGTTGTTTTTTGAAACACCCTAATATATACATACATATATATATATATATATATATATATATATATATATATATATATATATATATATATATATATATATATATATATATATATATATATAAAGGTGGGTCGTAAATTTTTTTTTTCTTGTTACAGGCTCTAAACATTGCTAATAGTTATTAATATTGATACTATCAAATATGAGAATGATTGTGATAGATTTAAAGAGCGCAACTTTATTTGGAAAATTACCAGTACCCTAATATTTTGGAGAAAAAAAGTTTTTCAAAAGTAGGTCAATCTGGTACTCAAAAGAAGCGAAATTTTATAATAAATTCGAAAATAATAATCGTTTTATAAAAATCATATTGCCGAAAAAAATTGTTATTAAAAAACATGTAAAAATGCACCTTTTTCACTTTTAGTTAAAAAACTACAGTTATTATGCAATAAAAACTAAAATAATAATTTTTATATGAAAAAATTATTATTTTTAAAATTTTTATAAAGTTTCGCTTTATTTGAGTACCTACATCACATAATTTTGAAAAACTTTTTTTTTGAATAATAATAGGGCCTGCTAATTTTTGTAATTATAGTTGCGGGTGGAAGACATTGTTCAATCCATAAAAATAAATACTTTCCTAAATTAGTACATAAAAAAACAACTTTCTAGACCATATCCAGGTTAGCAACTCTAAAAAAAATTTTATGACCTACCCTAATATATATATATATATTGGTGATTAAAAATCTGCTGCTAAATATTGGTGATTAAAAATCACCAGCCACTGTGAGCCTCATGCTGCAGCGGAAGTGAGATTCTTTCCAAGCTCAAATGCCCCCTCCAAGCAATCAGGGTTTTGGCTTCTTATCCTGACAACAATATATGATAGTATCATCAGTGTAGAACAAGAACTCAGCTGTAGAACAAGAAGATTGAAATATTGATGATCAGAAAGTTATTAGATTCAATGATGAATGACGATGAGAGATTAAGTGTTTGTTAATTAAAGATTCAAAAACCTTGCTTATGATAGGAAGAAGACTAGTGAGACGATAGTTAGACAAATCAGATCGCTTTCCAGAATTTTTAAAAATAGGAATAACAGATGCTGCTTTCCAGCAGTCTGGAAAACAAGAATCTGATAAGCACTTGTTAAATAGTTTTGAAAGTACAGACGAAAGCTCGGGAGAACACTTTTGCAAGACTATAACAGGTATGTTGTTTGAACCACTAGCTATAGATGAGTCTAAACAGGAAATCACTTTTAATACAGAAGTTGGAGTGATACGAATGTCAAGTCATGTCAATGGATCAACCTGTTTGACGACTAAATCAGGTAGAACGCAACTAGTGGAATCAAGAGATAATATTGATAAAAAGATCTTGGAAAACAATTCAGCTCTGTCTTTAGGTGAGGTGACAAAGTCTGGAACCATACAAGAGAGGTGGAATAACAGATTTGCCCTTATTATTGATACTATTAAAGATTCTCTGAAGTCACGAGAGCATAATTTTTGAAATGAAATAGGAGATTTCATGACCGGAGAATAGTGGGCTTTGACGTTAGACAAAACCTTTTTACAATGGTTCCTAGCAGTAATAAACAGGCGTCTATTTTCTGGAGAATTGTCTTGCTGATAGATATGGAAGTAACGGTTCGATTGAAAATTGCAGCAAAAGAATGTGAGGAAAACTGTAAGAGTGAGGCTTGTTGATGAATCATCAAGAGGAAATAAAAGATTTTATGCCAGCCTGAATTCACAAAGTTATGTAAGAAGCACAATTGTCAGCTGGAAGATGAAAGATTTCTACCCAAGGGCCATCACTAAGAAAATCACAGAAAGAGTCCCAGTCAGCTTCAAGGTAGTTGTAAGAGGTACAATGATAAGGGTATTCAGATGATGAAGAAGAATGAGATAATAGTTTTAGAGGGATCAAACTGTGAAACAGAGCACTGACTAGGATCAGAAACAAGACATAAGTCAAGTAGAGAAGGTAAATGATTCGGATTGTCTTGAAAGCGAGTTAAAAAGTTGACTATTTGAGTTAGGGATTGAGAAAGGCAAAAGTTATGGGCTTTAACGCCTGCTGACACTGACACTAGAGCCAAGCCATTCAGAGTGATGAGCATTAAAGTCACACCAACAATAACGATATTGGCTGATTGATAAAGAGAGAGGGCTTGGTCAATTTTATCAGAAATAACATCAAGAAGTGCGCAGATTTGAGATGAAGGTGAGCTATATAGAACAAAGAGAAAGGCAATTGAGTAAAGTGATGCTAAACAATGCACAAACCTAGTTTCCTGACAAATGGGTGAATTCTTATGAATGTAAATGCCCAGGCCAAGCATGTGACTATTGGAGTCTTTACAAATTAAAGGAAGATAACCATCAACACTGAGATCACAAGATAAGACAGCTGAACTCAAATTAGTCGCTTAAAGAGCAAGTAGGTCTGGTGAACTTTGCAAGAGATAAGATTCAACAGAAGAAAAGTTACTTCGAAGACCACGAATGTTAGTGAATGATAGGTTTAGCGAACTTGATGATGACTGTGGTTTTTTGTGTTTTATAGTTTTTGTTACTTTATTCATTTTTAAATTTGTTAAAGAACTTGACTCAAAACATAGATAGTACTCAGTACACTGTTTAATACCCCAAACAATTGCCTTATTACTATTAATAAACCCTAAGCTGTAACAAAGGGCTCCGATGTGGCCTTGGCAATGGACACCAAAAGTACTAACAGGGACACCATCCATGCACAACATGGCACTGTTAGTACTCTGATATTTTTCAGCTGTTGATGGAATCAGTCTCTCTGAAAGCTACCACATAGTTAGGGAAACCTGACTACTAGCCAGCCTCAGAACCATAAAACTGAGTTTTAGAGCTGTACTCTCATTAGGAGTTAATAGAACAAGCAAAACCCATTGAGTCAAGAAGATTCAGGATTCAACATCCTAAACAGGAAACAATGTATTATAAATAAATCTGCGCCAGCCTAATAGATAAAGAAGGGGTTCAAGGTTTTCTACAAATAGAATATGTTTACCCCTTAAGTCTTTGTATAAAGAGGCCTTCTACATGACAGTAGCAGGATGCATTTAACATCTGCCCAAGATGAGTACTTTTATTGAGACACCAACTCTAGCCTTTACTCAACCAAGAGCCCCAAGGCAGGGGGTGTTTTAAGTCAGAGGTGGCTTTGCCTAAAAAAATGTATCCTACAAGGCAGCAGGATATGAAGCAGGTTGTACTGGGTTACATGTTACCAGTAGCAGAATAACCTATAACAAGCCTTCACTTGGAAAAAGAAAGATAAGGCAAGTTGAAGAAGCAGTTATTAAGAAACTTGCAACTGCTCTGGATGTCACTGATTTAGTTGCACTAAACAATGAAGTTCTAAAAGAAATTCAAACCAAAGCTGGCGATCTAGACTTCCTTGTTGAATGCATGAAAGAAAAACTTAAAGTTTCTAACAGAAGGTAGCAACTTTAATTTTTGACATTGACCCAAAATCTTGGTCTATCAGAAAAGCAGCAAAAAAGTTTTCAGTTTCCAAACACAAAATTCAAATGCAAAGTTTTTAGGCAACCAAAAAGGCATTATAGCATACCCTGATGTGGTTAAAAGGCATCGAATCAGCAAAGATGTTTTAAAACTTGTAAGGCTTTTTTACAGTGAAAAACTGTGTAAGTGTTAGGAAAAAAAATACATGCCAAAAAAATTGATTTTGTGTAACTTAAAGGAGCTCGATATGGCATTTAGGATAAAGAACCCAGACCATAAAATCGGATTTTCTAAAATTCGTCTTCGGCCTAAATGGTGCATTCTTGCTGGTCAAAAATGTACACACTCTGTTTGTGTGTGTATAATACATCAAAATGTTAAATTAATGTTGAGTGGTGTAGGCCTTGAAACATCTTACAATGAAATCATTGAAAAGATTGTTTGCAGCAGAAAATTGAAAGAGTGCATGATTCACCGATGTACTAGTTGACCTGGCATACAAGCCAGGACAACTATTGCATTGGTGAACCATAGCCCAAAATTATTTCCAGCAGTATCTCATACAAAATGATGATCCAAAAGAGCAATATAGCAGTGATAAAAATGAGCAGTCAGTGGATTTTAACAGTGGACAACAACAGATAGAACTGAACTATTAACAATAAAACTTCCATTAAATAAATTCATAGAGCTCCTGTGTAAAAATTTGATAAAATTACTTCTCATTCATTTATAGCAAAATTACAA